AGGAGAAGTGAAAATGGGCACCGGGGCCCGCGTCTTTCCACCCTGCCTGGGCTCATCGGAGGCTCAGGATTGGCCGAGGGCATGTGTGCTGGTAAGAGAACTTGAAAGGGTTCGGGCTCCATGTTCGAATGTTTGGATTTGTCTTCAAGTGGATGCAGATGACACAGCACAGATTTACTGTGCACAAGGTGATGTTCTGAAGGACGCATTCGCTGTGCAGACGTTCAGTCTAGCCACTCACACATGCCAGCTCACACGGTTACTCTTTGTGAGGTGAGAAACTTGCTTCTGCTCTTTCTGTCTTTCAAGGACACTGTGTCACCATCAGCTGTCACTCACAGTGCTCCAGATGAGCATCCCTCTCGTCTACTTGGAACCATGTGCTCTCTGCCAAGCGCTCCCCACATCCTAACCCCAGCCCCTGGCTTTGGGACCAGCAGTGGGATTGCACAGCACTGGCTGCCTGTGCCTGACATATTTCACTTAACATCATCTTCTCTCGGTGAATCTAGATCATTACCAATGACAGAACCCTCCTTTTGGTGGCTGTATAGTATTCTTGCCCGTTCATCTGTGCTGGACACCTGGGTTGGTTCCTGAGCTCAGCTCTCGTGAGCAGCACTGAGATGCACAGCAGAGCTCTGGTGTCTTCATCATGCTGATTTCAAACTTGGGAGGCTTTTTCTCCTTTTCTTGCACAAGGAGCCTCCCCTTACTGTCCAGCTGGCTTTGCTAGGTGGACAGTCAGGACTGAGAAGCGGTCTCCTCCTTCCAGGTTCTGAGTGAAGACAAGTTACTTCATGGCTAATTTCATTCCACAAATATCTATTGTGCACCTACTATGTGCCAATCACAGAGCTGGGCTGGGAAGAGAGAAACAATGGTGAACTGGAGCGCAGCTGCCGCCTAGCGAGCCATAGTTGCTTTCAAGGGGAGGTGTTGACAAGCACAGGAAGAAAAGGTCTCAGAGTCTACTGCTGGGCCTGAAGTGGCCACCACATACCAAAGGTTTCATCCTGCATGGCACCTGTGGGAGATGGCAGAGCCTCTAAGAGGTGTGGCCTGTGGGAGGAAGTGCAGTCATTGGGGTGTGGCCCAGGAAGCAGGTACTGAGACCCTGCTTTTTCCTCTTCCTCTCTTCGTTCCCAGTCACCATGAGAGTAGCTTTCTACACCACACACTCCTACCACAATGGCCCCAGAGCAACTGGGCCGACAGACCACGGGCTGGAACCTCCAAAACTGAAAAACACAATAAACCTCTCCTCTTTTTAAGTCGATGATCTCAAGTGTTTTGTTACAATGATGAACAGCCAAGGACACAGGGACAGGAGCAATCTGGAAGACACTGTCACATAAGGGCTCAAGCTTAGTGGTAGTCAGGAGAGAAAAGTATGCAGATTCTGATCCAAACAAAGCCCTAGCAGTTGAAGACTTCGCTTGGCCTCAGTGTAAGTTGCTTCATGAAAGCATCTGCTATAAGTCTGGCCCTAAATGTCCCCAAAGCCCCAGCTCAGTGCCACTGGGAGGTGGTGGGTCCTTAGGGAAGCTTTTAGGTCTTGGGATGTGAGTCCCTGGAGGAGCGTCTGGTACCTCCATCTCTTCCTCCATGAGATAAACCACTTCCTCCACCACCTGCTCCTGCCATAATGTTTACCTTGCCATGGACTCAAGAGCCTTGGAGGCAACTGTCCATGGACCAAACCCCCCCAAACTGTGAGCCTAGTGAGTCCTTTCCTCTTTTAAATTGATTTTCATAGAGTTGTGGCCAGAGTCATAGAAAACGAACATGGTATCTGTGCTAGTAAGTTCCACAGTGCACACTGACAGGGAAGGCTCATGAGTGAAAAGAGCAACCATAGAAAGGTCACATGTTTCCGGGGTGTGGAGCCGGTATCACAGAGGCGCCTGAGACAGATTATGCTTTCCTGGACCTGGGCCTCCACTTTGGTCATCTCTACGATGCTGTCATTTTAGTCTTTCTCTGATCAGTCCAAAATATCTCAAGTTGTACTCTATTTCTACTGTCTGTTATTTCTGATACCTGTTATTTTATTTACTCAATTATATTAATTAAATGAATGAAAAAATGCTCCCAGTGTCAATCAATGCTGTGCTTGTGTTCCAACCAGCAGGAAGGGAAGAGAGTGTGGGAGTGCTAACCTGTCTCTCTAGGGCTTGTGTAAATCATGTCTCTAACTCTTTGGCCAAAACTGGACCAACTACCTACTGGTGGCCGCAAACAGCACTGCAAAATGTAGACTGGCTGTGAAGGTGGCCGTGTGCTCAGCCAAAACGCCAGGCTTCCACTGCCAAGGAAAGAGAGGAAGCCTGCAACCAGCTGGGACACAGAAGTCACTGGAAACAGACTCGGCCACTCAGTCTTGGGGCTCAGCTCTGGCAAGGAGGACAGGGGAGGTGGGGTGGGAACTGGGAGGCTGGATAGACTGGGGCGCTGAGGAGTAGCAGAACAGAGAAATAATCTCGGGATAATTAGGACAAGAAGCTGAACTCAATGTTTAATGCCAGTCACAGTGAAAGAGGAGTTTCCCACCGCAGTTGTTCATAAATTCAAAACAGCTTCAGTGAAAGAGAAACAGCTTGGGGAACTTCTGTGACTATATTCACTGTGTGTGCATGTGTGTGTGTTTATAATGAAAGGAGCGGAGGAAGATAGACAGAGACAGAGACAGAGAGACAGAGATCGGCCTTGCCCAGCCTGAAGAACATGAGCGTTAGATCATGCCCAGTGAGGAGGGGCGGTGCTGATCCCTATGAGAACGGTTACCATATCGTGCCTCACGTTTGCAGCTCTTTTGAAACCAGCCTTGCTTTCCGTCTGTATTTACGTTTGCCAGTTATGGAGCTGTTGAACATTGTGCTCCATTCAAATAGAAGCAGCCCTGGTGGGTGATCTCTTCTGTCATCTGTCCCTTGGAGCCAGAGCCACCCACAGCTCCAAAGATGCAGACCCCACAAAAACCCTGGCATCTCCCCAGGGATGCGTGTGCCACCCCAGCAAGGCACGGCCACCAGGGCTCAAGAGGCTAAGGGCACTGGGAGCCTCCGCCTCCCTATGACCCGCACGATGTCCTTCCTGCCCAGGCAACGAAGTCAGAAAACAGACTGGAGAAAGACGGTCCTGAGTTCCAGTTCATCCTCTTCTACTTCCTGTTGGTGTGACCTTAGGTAAAGGGACTTCCCTGCTTGAGAGGCTCCTGCGGGGTAGAAACTTGAGAGCGGTGAGGGTAGAGGTCAGAGTGTCAGTTGGGGACCAGGCCGTTCTGCTTTTAATCTTGGCTCTGGTATCTTAGGGTGAAACCATCCTCCTTTGTTCAGAACTGAAGGTCCCAGGGCTGTGAAGATGCAGGGCTAAAATGAAAAACCAGAGTGCTTGGCCACTGTGGTACCCACCACGTCATCCTGGACAAGTGGGTGAATCTGAGCCTTGGTCTAACCAGGTATAAAAGTCAGCATTAAATGTTCACCTTGTGTCTTTGTCTCTTTCTCCTCACTGGGACAAAATACCTGACACCCCCAATTTAAAGGAAGAGAGGTGTATTGGGGCTCACAGTCTTTAAAAAATTCAGTCCATAGGCAGCCACGGCAGGAAGGGCGTGGTGGGAGGGCCCATAGCACCAAGGAAAGCTTTGCGGTCAGGGCATTGAGGAAGCAGGGAGTGAAGGGGGGACCCCGGAGGCAGAGAGACCTCTCCACCCTGTGACACCCCCCCCAACCATACCCCATCCCCTAACTGCACCCTGGCTGCTGAGCTCATTAACCCAATGGTAAGTATAGCACCCCCACGATCCAATCGAAAGGCATCAGAGGAGCGCCCAGGCCCAGGGTGGCCCTGTCTCTGGTCCTAGGTGTCCCTGACCCCCTCCAACACAGTCACAGCCTTAGATCCATGATGAGCCTCTGCTCCAGCCCCATGGTCTTTTTATTAGGATTATTGTGTGACTCTGCACCCTTAAGGTAACCCCAAGAATAACTGTGCCCTCCAATACCTTGTTTTCAAGAGTGCACCCTAAAATCAATGACAAAGAAGGAAAAAGACCAGACACATGTGTTGTTTTTTGTGGAAGGAAAACCACACACCCTTCATTCCAGGCTGATTGCTTCCTAACCCCGTGACTTCATCCAGCTTCCTGGGCTACCAGGAGGCGGCCAGCTCTGGAGAAGGCAGGGCCAGAGCTCAGAGGCAGAGAAGGTGTGTATGTGCAGGAATGGTCCCTTCCTCTTTACAAGTGCCCCTCCTTGTCAACACGGGAAACACGTGCCTTGACTTCCATGCTCACTGCAAATTCGAGACAGGGAAGCCAGCACATTTTCTTCCACAGAACGGAGCACACGGATACTGATGCTGGGAAGCTGATCTGGGAGCTAAACGGGCTCTGGGGGTTCCTTTCTAGAAGATGAGCTATCAGACGAGACCACCTTCCAGAAGTCACCAGAGCATTGCTCTTGCCCTAGTAGAGGCCATCTCAGCTGGACAGGAACAGGTACCCTTCCAGAGCTTCTTATCTGGAGTGAGCCACACCCTCTGGGGTCCCGAGATCCAGATGGTGACCCAGGTCCACTCCCTGCAGCCCTGGAGAGGAGAGTAACTGGGGCTGCAAGGGAGAGGGTTGCTATCAGGGTAACTTTGGGGTTTGGTTGGGAGGCAGGGAGGGAGGGCACAGAGCCCAGTCAGAACTGTACCAAGCCAATCAGTGGACTGATTTGGTAGTCACACATCCTTGATTCTAGCACCACACTCTCTAGATCCAGCCACCTGTGAAAGTCTCCACCCATGATGGCACGAGGCTTTGGGGAACATCTAGACACTAGCCACAACACTGCCTTTCAAACACACCCCCAGCTTCCAGTGTCTGAGGGTGCCCTTGCCACAGTGCCATGGGGGGGGGGCACTCCAGGCAGGCCAGAGCTTCTAGGGCATTGACACCCTAAGTGTTTATCAGTCAGCTGTCCCACAGACACAATGCCTCGTGCCCACAATTGAAAGGAAGAGAGGTTTAATTCAGCTGGGGTTTTAAGGAGATTCAGTCCATGGTCAGATGACTCTGAGGCAGGAACATCGTGGCGGAATGGCTGCTTAGTTCACAGCAATAGGACGCAGAGCAGGGGAACAGAGCCAGAGAGGAAGGGACCTGGGACCCCGTATGGGCCCCAAGGACATGCCTCCGAGACCCACTCAGGCACAACCAGAAGTGTGCTGCACCAGGGTCCTGGGCGGCTTCCCGGCCAACAGAGTTGATACAGTCCCGCTTTGCCAGAAGCTTTGCTAAGGAGGAGCCTGACTGGTGGGTGAACAGCTCAGGTTCCTACACTACTCCGGAGGAGGCTTTTGTCCCCCACACCTGCCAGGGCTCCGAGGTCCTGCTCCCCTTCCCCGGCCCTGCTTCCTCCACCCTCCATTCTCAGCTCCCTCCCCTCCCTTCCTACAGCATCACACAATCAATTTCTTCAATCATAGCTAGATACTGGCGTCTGCTTATGGGAAAGCCAACCTAACTGACAGAGGTGGGGGACCCCTATATTGTTCTTGGTTAGTAAGCAGGGAATCCGTGTTTGGCGGCCAGCAGTTTGGCGACATCTTGCTCAGGAAGTGACAAGCTGGAGGTCAGATCTGATGTCCACTACAGGGCTCTCCCCTGGGGCACGGCCCTGCTTCTACCACGTCTCCTTTCCTCGTACTGAGTATAGTGGTCACTCTCTGGTCACGGGACTAACACCCTTAATGGTGAGACTCGGTGACCAGTTAAAGCCCTCCCACCCCACAACGAAGGGCTCCACTGAGAGAGTTTCATATTTCTTGATCTTGGTACGAGGTCATAAGACAGCAAGAAACCTTTTGGTCAAGGCCTCGTGTCTCCAAATGAGCCCCAGTCTGACTTCTCCACAAGACCTGCACAGACCTCCTGAGCTCCTTATCTAAAGCTAAAATCCTCTGCAAGCCAGAGGAGAATGGTTTCTATTAAACTGTAGCTGTGAGCATAATTTTAAACGCGATGCAGGTGCTCCCAGGAAATCTACAAGGTGCTGAGTGACCCCAAAGAAGACATTCTTTAGATAATCACATTTACTGCTTGGACCCTTTTCCCAGCATCCTCCAACCCTCATGCAAAGCCCAATCTCTGACCCAGATCGCACTTGGAAATCCACCCGCTGTCCTCTCGGCAGCAAACCTGTTCTAAATTCCTCTCCGCTGTTAAAGTGCTTCTTGCAGCCTGCACTACCAGCCTTCATGTGCATCTCACAAGCAGTGGGATTGGTCACACTGAGCCACGCCCTTAGCTCTTCAGATGTCATCTCCTCTGAGCCTAGTGCCATGGGATAGGATGGCAAGGATGTTTCTTTCCTATCATTCTGACCACAGAGACACAGAGACCTTGGTTCTCCAAGACTACACAGCCTGGATTAAGGCAGAGCCTGACATGTCTGGGATACCAACCCTCCTCTCCATCATAGACTTCTCAGGGGTCTGGCCTCACAGCCTTTTGATGACCTGGCATGAGAGCCACTACTATGAGACCCCAAGCCTAGCAAAGGCTTTATTCTGCAAGAGGCAGAGAGCCCCCCCCAGGAGGATGCCCCATCCTGAGTGGGCTTCAGAGGAGCCCCTCACCTGAGGTCTCCCTGTAACCAGCCAAGCCAGCAGGCCAAGACTCAGCTGCCAGGGAGGCCAGTGGGTCCAAGACCACTGCAGGCTGGGGCTCAGAAGGTGGGGGGCCTGTCTCTGCCCTCCAGGTCCAGGACACAGAGCCTCTGAGTGGTTGCTGAGCCAGCATCCAAGGGTCATCTCCTCTGGATGATCCACACTCCAAATCTGATGGGACCCCTCTCTGGTCTGAGCTACCCAAAGGGCTAAGTCCAGAAGGTATGCAACACATTGTCTTCCAAAAGGCTGCAACTGGCAGTGTCTGTGAAATCATGCAACCCAAGATTCTGACTCACTGATCAGGGAGATGGAGGCCTGAGGGGCACCATGGGGCCTGACTCATGGCGGGGGGGTACCATAACTGAGTTATGGAAGCTACAGCCAGATTGGGGCATCATCCCAGCTCTGAGCCCACCCCCTCTGCTCTTCCCGCTGCCTTACATCTAATCAGAAAATCATTCTTGTCTTCTGTGAGGACAGAAGAGGAGACTTTTCCAGTGTTTCCGCCTGGAGTCTCCCAGGGCCATCAGCATCCAGCAACGCTAACGGACCCAGGACTGCAGGAAGACACTGGAGAGGAGGAGAGGGCTGCAGAGGCAACTGAGCTAGCAGGCCAGGCCAGGGCCCCAGGGGCAGGGCATCTTTGAAGGAGAAAGACCAGCCTGCCTCGGCCTTGACAGATGAGGTGCCTGGGGCTGTGCTGCTGAGACTCAGACCTGTGTCTATTTCCAGGAACCCAGGCTGTGCCCTATCTTTGAGAAACCTGAAGGAGTGAAGCTGGAGAACCTCAGTGCCCGCCCCTGGCCAGCCCATGCGGGAATCAGATGTCCTCAAGAGAAACATCTCAGGGACTTCCTTAGACCGCTCATGGCCCACTGGGACAGGCACATGTACATTGGAGCAGGAGGCCATGTCCAGTGTTCTTCGGTGGCCTGAGGTTCTTGGCAGGGCTTGATGTGAGTTCCCAGCGCTCCGGGCTTCTCCAGGGGCCTGGCCAGGTCTCTGGAAAAGATGAAGAAAGGACACTTCGTGCTCCTCATTTCTGGACCAGCACTCCCCACCCCCTGCTGGTGCTTAGGGCATCCTCAAAAACAGTGTCAGAAGGCGCCCCCTACAGGCCAAGCCTGGTTCTTGCCCCCCCCCCCCAAACTCAGGGAGAGGCAGGGAGGCATGACCAGGTCCCCTGGGATGGAGGGGAAGTTAAGCAAGGCTTCCAGGAGAAGGTGACAGCTGAGGATGATCTCCCACCTGTGCAGATGGTTCCTGTCAGATTTGCCTCAAGAAGAAGAAAATGTGGAGGACACGGTGGAGATGGGGAGGTGGGGACAGTGGCGAGGTCAGCACAAGCACAGGTACAGAGAGGAGTGCCTGGTGGGATGAGCCAGTGATCTCTGTGCAGGCCCAGAATGGGCAGAGTCCTAGAATCTAGAATGTTCCAGAGTTCTAGTCTGGCCTGAACTTGGGAGCAGAGCTCAGTGACATGGGCCCTAGGAGGGTTGTGGAGATGGGTGGATGTCCTCAAACTGTGGTCTGTGTGACTGCAGCAGCAGGGGAGGAGCCTGCAGGAAGAACTGGGCACAGAAGGACGCTGAGGCGTGAGGGTGGCTACGCTGTGCTGCAGAGCTCAGATCTACGGGGCCCCTCTGGATGCTTCCCACTGCTCAGGGACCTGAGCAGAGGGTCCCCAAAAACCCTTTCATACCTGGGAGCGCTGAGTGACCCAGGACCCAGGACATGGAGCCGGCAGCCCAGGCCTGTCATCCGCAGCTGCTCTCACCCCCGCTGACCCTGCCCTGCAGCCCGGTGTCAGCCCGGCCCGGAGCAGACACATTCCTCCCTCGCTGGCTGTCCTGACTCCGTCAGCCCCTGACAACAGAAGGGCCTGGAGGAGCTGAGGCCAGCTCCGAGGGTGCCAAGTCCTTAATGCTGCCCAGCTGTGCCGGGCAGTGGGCCGAGGGCTCGGCCTGAGCCACCAGAGGCCAAGGAATTGGGTGGGCTGGAGCGGAGCTGTGAGTCATGGACCTCCAGCAGCCAAGAAGCCTGTTTGTCTTCAGGCTCCAGGCCTCACTGAGTGTGCTCTGTGGCTCAAAGCGGCTGCCGAGTGACCGCGGCTGCGGCCAGGCTCCCTCTGCCTGTGACGGTGTGACGTCCATCTGTTTACTTTGTATGCTGGGCCTTCTCACCTTCATCTCCCAGGAATTCAGGGTTATTTCCCATGAGTCAGTTCTTCCAAAGCTGCCCAGAGAGTCAGATCTTCAAGATCATGCACTCTGAGAATTCTGGGGACCAAGAAGGCGTGCTGCCAAAGATGGTGTGTTTAGTAAGGTGGGCTCCAAAGAGCCTAGGTGGGCACTGGAAAGGGTCTGCACCAAGTACGTCAGCTGCTGCAGCCCTGGGCAGCAGGAATGAGGTAGCTGGGCCCCAGATTGGGAGGTGGGACCCAAATGCAGACCAGGCCCCAGGAGGGCCTCAGCCCTCCTCCTCCTCCTCCTCTGGGCATGGCACCCCCTGTGGTGCCCTACTCAGAGACGCATGTGGGATGTCCCAGCTGCCCCCCCCGGCCCCGCCCCACAAGGCTCTAAGAGGAACTCACTAGCTGCACCCCCTGCCCGGCCCCTCCAGGTGACAACCCAACAGGGGAACCCCTCTCCTGGGGTATAAGTCCAGAGTCACCCTGGCATAAGTAAATGGAGCCCCCACTGTGCAGAGAGAAGCTGGCACGCGGCTGGGGAGAGGCTAAGACTCCAGCTGGCCTCGGCCCGGGCAGCCTCTGCCCTACCTGTCTTTGAGGACTCGAGCCAGCAGATGTTCCTCTTGGCCTCAAGCTTGTCACTTCGGCGTCTGATACCTGTAACCAGAGACACCATGTGCTCTGCACCACCAGCCAGGATCCAGACCTCCGCGGACGTGGCACCGCCACACCAAGGTTCTGGGAGCATGCGGTCTGCACACTCATCTGCTGCTGCTCCATCTGAGATGCAGCCCCGGAGGACAGACTGACCCACGGAAGATCCCGGGAAACGTGTCTTGGATTGTATAGTTTTCCTGTCTCGGAATGGAGTCACTTATGTCAAATCCCCGAAATGGAGCCAGGAAAACCCAGGAAGGGAGCCCTGTTACACATGCGCGCTTGAGAACAGGAACTCCCACCAGAGACCCCAGGACTGGAGCCTTCGATGACGGCCACCACAGCCTCCTCAGAAAGTCCTTCCTCGAGGAGGTCTGCCCAGTCCCTGTCCAGTGTGGGGGTGACCCCACCCTTTTCACTGATTCTTGCAGCCAAGGGTAATGATTTCAAGACAGTGTGTGCACTGGTCTTGTTCCTGTCACCACCACCACCACCCCACCCCCACTTCCTGGGCCTCCCTGCCCTCCACAGCCCATCGAGGCCCCCTAAATCTGTTACCCTGGCGTACCCTCCCTGACAAAATTCTCCTCTCCACAGAGCCTTTCTTTCGATTGGTATCCAGTTCACAGCACTAAATGACTAACCCAGTTTGGAAGCCTGATTCATGGAGAGGGAGCAGGATTGCAAAAGCAGGGTGTGGGTGGGGCGGACTACAGCATAGAGGTTCAGTTCTAGGGCCAGAGGCCTGGGTGTGGCCTGCAGCTCTGGAGGTGGGGAGGAGGCTGTAGAGGAACAAAGAGGGCCGAAGGGCAGGACAAGCCCTGCCTACCAGGCAGAAGACTCCAGGTGGGCAGAGCAATGGCTGGGCTGTGATGTGGGCCTGGGAGGGCAGTGCCCAGCATCCACGCCAGGGCTGGCAGGTTTGCATGAGCTCATCCTCTGCAAGACTCAGCTCCCTCTGCCCTGGCACCCTGGGAGCTGTGAGGACACCATGTGCAGCCAATCTGGTGAGGTGTAAAAGGTGAAACAGGCTGGGCATGGTGGCACAGGCCTGTAATCCCCACGCTTGAGAGGCTGAGGTGGAAGGCCAGCCTGGGTTACAGAGTGAGTTCAAGGCCAGCCTAAACTACATGGCAAGGCTCTATTAAAAAAAAAAAAAAAAACAAAAAAAAAAACCCACAAAAACAAAAACACCTGACATTGGTAATCTCTCCCCACATCCAGCCACAATCTTCCAAGGGAGCGCCACAGTGACACCCAGGAAAGACAATCATGTCGAATCTCAATCGATCCAGCCTGGCTGCAGGCCCCTCTTATCCAAGACGGAACAGGGACCCTGGCTAGGTCAGCACTTCACACAGGGAGCCCAGAAGGAAGGGCAGACGAACACTGATAAACTCTGAGGGTGGACCCGGAGCTGCAGGCCTGCCCTCAGAGACACAGTCTCTCTGCCAGCTGCCCACTGGAAGGTGCTGACCATCTGGCATTCAGTCAGAAGAAGGCTGGACCTTACCACAGGCCAAAGGAGGCAAGGCCATCCCGGGGTCTCGTGCAGGGAGCCTCTGCATCCCCTCCGCTTTCCCTCAGGAACGCGCCCCCAGTGCAGGCCTTCCCGTGGAGCCTTGGGGTGTACACTGCATGTGCGCACGTTGTGGTCACACTCTGCTAGGCCCTGCAGGTGCCAGGAGGCAGGAGGGACCAGGAGGATGAGAATGAGTGGGAGGCAGATCTAGCTCTTCCCGGCTGCTGCATCTCAATGGATCATAACCTCAGGGGCTGGCAGACAGAATTATTCGAGTGCTCCTATTACGCAGCCAGAGGCCTCTGCAAACCGGATTACTCTGAGCCTAGATTTAACAGCAGCAGCAGCATCTGAAAAACTGGCTTTTTTGAGACCAGGAGGCCAGTCATCTAGGGACAGTGTGACAGCCATGGCCGGCTGGCAGGGCCTTGAATCCGTTCCCTGGGGGCCAGTTCAGCCCCTGCCCTCTCCCTGAGACCTAGGCCCTTTGCAGAATCAGGAACAACAAAGCCAGTTTTCCTGAGCCCAGGCTCAGCTCCCAGCCTGTACTCTCTGTGTGATGAAGGGCGGTTCCTTTCCTCTCTGGGCCATGTCCACGCCTCTGCACAAGGAGCTCGCTCCGGAGCCTCTGTGCTGCCCACAGCCTTTCAGAGCTGGGAGCCCATGGGAGTCTTAACGGAAAGTTCTTCTGTGACACTTTATCTTAATTAAGCATAAAAATTAGGAAATTCCAAGCTAAGCTTTCTGAATTGTGTGGGTAGAAGAAATGTCTGACTCTCCTTTTTTGGCTGAGTCTTTGCAAGCCAAGCGTTTCCAAATGTTTGGCCCAGTCCCTCGCCTCGGCCTCCCACTTCTCGCCTGTCCTGGTGGGGGGAGCTGAGCGATAAGTGGGGGCCGGGCTCAGGCCAATCAGAGTCGCCCACGGCTGACCGCGGTTGACCCATTGGCTGCGCCTCCGCAGCACCTGGGTGACTGGCGGCTCACACCAGATGTGCTTGGCACCCGCCCACCGTCAATCAGGAGTCTGGGTTTGGGATATCGAGGGAGCTGCACACGAAGGCGAGGGTGAGAAGCGTGAGGCCTGGTTTGAAAATACTGAAATTCATCCTGGCTGCCTCCCGGCCAAAAGAACAGGCTGTTCCGCGGTTCCTGAGGACGGGGGGGGGGGGGGGGGGACCTGCCTGTGGCTCGGAGCGGGCTCTACCGCCGCCTTGCAGGGGTCCATAAACCCCCTGAGCTCTCTCCTCACCAGGGCTGCTCACCCAAGGGTGCTGGGCGGGGAATGACTCAGGCCCACTTACGTTTGGAACTATATTTGCTACTTGCTGGTTGGGCAGATGGGACCAGTTCTGGTTCTTGTCTTAGTTTGTTTTCTGTTGCTATAACCGAACACCTAAGATTCTGTAATTTATAAAGAATAGAGGTGGGGGCTTCATTTGATGAGATCTTTGTGCTGCTTTACCTCACGGCTGAGAGCAAAGCAGTGCCCTGGTCCCAGGCGAAGGGGTGGCTTTGCTGAATAACAACCAGTTCTGCTGATGCCTGATCTGGTTCCACCAGCAAGCACTGCCTGGACAAAAAGTCATTCGTGGCTTCCCAAGGGCTACCCCAAGAACGCCCCTCTTCATCACTGCTGCCCCAGGGTGCAGCCCTGTGGAATTCCATCAGAGACAAACTCAGTCCAGCCACGCAGACCTCTTGCCTTGTTGAGAATGGGGAATCATGTGGACGTCCCAGGGCTGGCCCACGTTTGGTACAGACCAGTGTGGAGGGCCACACAATAGGCAGGAGCCTCATCGGCATCCTTGGCCACCCAAGAGTACAGGAAGCCCAGGAGAGAAGAAAAGCAAGTATTGCTGGTGAGTCCCTGGAGATGAGAGGCCAGTCATTCTTCTGAGCACCCTAAATGCACTCCCACCAGCACGCCCAGGACACCAGGCAGTGGCCCTGGGTTCCCATTCTGGTGCCAGGCCACTTGCTGCACTTGGGGGTGCTGTGAGAGACACCCACCGTGGTCAGGGGCAGCTGCTGTTGAGGACATGGCTCCCTCCTCCCAGCATTCCACCCCAGAACCCAGAGGAGATGGGTCCCTGAGCTCCAGTCCCAGGCTGGGTTCTGTCCCTCAGCCAGGATGGAATCTGAGGAACTGGCTCAGGCTTCTCATTCAGATGCCTGCATCCCAGGCCTGGTTACCTTGGCACCGCCTTGGCCCCAGCTGCGGGGCAGGTCAGAGCAGAATCCGCCAAGCCTCTTGACTTGGCCATCCAAATATTGTGGGCCAGTTTTACTCTGCTTACCTTTAATTTCCACCCCCACCACTTGCTTTTGTTTCCTTTTGACCTGATTTCCTTTGTCAACTTGTTTTTAACCCAGTTGGATTTTGCACGTTTTTAAGTCACAGTGGATTTAAGTTGGAGTTGGACTATGAGATATGCTGACTGAGAGAGATAGAGAAATCACCACAGCTTGTGTCACAGGTAGGTGGCCCTGTATGCTCAAACAGGCATGGTTCCCTGTCTGCCTTAGTCTTGACTAATATTACGAAGTACCTGGGCTGAGGGGGCTTCTAACCCACTACAAGGGTGGCTGGGGTGGAGCTGAGATCAAGGTCCCCTGGTCAGATTCTGGTGAGGGCCCCTTCTGAGATACAGATGGCTGATGTGTAGGTGCATCCTTGTGTGGTGCGGACAGAGCCAGCTGGCCCTGCACCTCTCCTTCCAAGGAGCCAGTCCCATCCACACTCCTGACCTCACCTCTCCAAAGGCTCCCACAGCCTAACACCTTCTCCATGGGGGTTGAGATCCTAACGGAGCCCTTTCTCCTGCACACCACCCCCCAGGAGGCGAGGTCTGGGAACTGGTCTTCCACAGACCCAGGACGTAGTTTGCCTCTGGAGGAGGGCTGCGCCTGTCGAGCAAGTCATCAGTCCCTGGTTTCACCTGTTGTCACCTTAGACATCGAGGTAAGGGGGGTGTTAGCACTGAGTTAACTGCCCAGTTATGCTTCACTTCTCCTAGTGAACTCTTATCCATCAGAAAGTGGCCCAGGCCCCTACCTGCCTGGCCTCTGTGTCTCTTTGACCTCTGTGCTCTTTGTTCCCACAGAGGAGATGAGAGTTTGTGGCAGTGAGAAGCATCTGCCTGGATTGTGAACCCCACTTCCGTGAGCCTGGGGGAGACCTTGGTGACACCATTCCGAGAGAATCGCCTCCCATCACAGTCTGTCTCCTCATCTAGGAGGGGAAAAGGGAAGGAACAGGGAGGCTTTGGGTGTGAGGCATTCAGAGCATGAGATATGCTTGCTGTAGATATTTACTGAATACCTGCTATGGGCCAGGGCCCTATGGTGAGCGAGAGGGTCCAGTCCTAGCCATGGAGCTTATAGCAGGGGGATCAGACGTTAAAGAAATTTATAGCCTGACACAGGGATGGGATGAAGGCAAGGCAGGAAATGGAAAGGGCTGTTGAGCTAGTGATTGGGTGGGTGCTCAAGTTTCAGAGTCACAAGCTTGCAGAAGAGAGGGGTCTAGGAAGATGGCCAGAAACAAGCTCCAAGACATGGTCTGGGTTGGGAAAAGAGAGGTCTTGGCAGTGAAGGATGCTGTAGCCAGGGTGGGAGGAAGGATCACCGGCCTGCATGTTGGATGCTGTGGTTTTCTGTCATCTGGTGAGGAGGAAATGCAGTCACTGGCCCAGGCCAGAGTGGAAAATGTCAATGAGGCACTGTAGTGATTGACAGCAGCACGGAATGAAGCGGCCACAGGACAGCTTCTTGGACACACTGCCCAGCCCTTCTCCAGGCAGAACACGGAGGAACCTGCTTCTGTGTGTGCAGAGCCCGTCCTCCTCCACGGTGCTGCCAGGCAGCTGACAGCGGGCAATGGGACCAAATGATCCTGCCCAGCTCTCAAGGGCAGCGCAAAGCCTGCCTTGATTCAAGCCCAAAAAGAGACGGGCAGATAGGAAGACACGTGTTTTATTCCCTGGCTGCCTGGGTTTACAGATATGGAAATAAACCTTGGTGGCCGGCTTTCAAAGCTTGGATGTCGTCACATCTGTCACCCTGAAACAGCAGATTACAGTTCCAGAACAGCATGGGCT